TGAGCAGGAAAAGGCGAAGAGGAGAGAACTATTATCAGGTACGAAATGTCAGGACCGTTGCAAATGCGGTTGACACACTCATAACAAACCTTTTGTCTTCTTCAGTCCCCACATGATACTGTGTTAAAAGAAAATGAAAACACAAAAACCTACTCTTAAGAAGCTTTTGACTCGGCCTGGATCCCACCACTTAAATTGGAAGGGACAGGGACACCAAATCAGAATTAGCTTACCACCACCCAGGCAAGCTGTCCCAGTAAGAGGTAGGAGGAGGACCCAGGAGGGAAGAAGAGCAGGGAAAGAATAAAACCACCTACTTTTCTACTGCAATAGCTGCTTCTTCAAAAAGCTCCTCTTGACAGTACATTTTGAGTGCTAGCTCATACTCCTGAATCTGTTCAAAACATCTGAAAGCATCTTTGTAGCACTGGCTTCGCTTATAGAAATAGGCAGCATCTTTTATCTAGGACAGAATCAAATGTTCCTGTTAGAGCATTTACAACATAACCTTTTATGTTAACAATACAGCATTATGACTGATTTTTAAAAAAAGATTATTATTAGGGTCCAGTGAAAACCACGAAATCAAAGACATGTTAAACACTAATTTTCTATATGGAAAAAAAAATCATGTCAAATCCTAAGGTAAGTTCCAAATGCATTAAACGTCTAAATGTACGAGCTAATAGGGGAGCATAGAGAAAAGCGCTGTACTTGTCCTTTTGTGCTTGGCTTACTTCCCTTAGCTTAATTTCCTCGTTCTTCCCATGCAGTGATGTGCTTCATACGTTCATCACTGCTTTTTAGCAATGCATAGTGCTCCAATGTATGTATGTACCACAGTTTTTAAATCCATCTGTTGATGAAAATTTGGATGGCTTCCAAGCCCTTGCAATTGTGAACTGTGCCGCCATGAACATAGGAGCACAGATGTCTGGCCTTGGTTTGTTTCTTGCCTCTTCTGGGTACATGCCCAGTCGGGGGATTGCTCGGTCGTATGGTAGCTCAATTTCCATCTGTTTTAGAATTGCCAAATCAATTTCTATAGTGGCCATACATACCTACAGGTCCACAGAAGTGGATGAGAGTTCCTATCTCACCACAGTCTTTCCAACACTTGTTGCTTTGATTTTTTTAATTGGGCTATCTCTGAGAGTGTTAGGTGGTATCACATTGTTATTTTGATTTGCATTTCTCTTTTGGCTAATAATCGTGAACATTTGCCCATGTTTATTGGCCATTCAGATTTCAGCCCTTGTGAAGCTTCTGTTCAGGTCCTTTGCCCACCTCCTCAGTGGACAATTAGTTTTTTTCTTTTTGGAAGGTAGCAGAGTATTGTAGATTTTAGTAATAAGGCCTTTATCTGATGTGCCATTGCTAAAGATGTTTCCCCAGTCCATGGGCTCTATTATTATTCCCTTGGTGAATTCTTTCAATGTACACAGGTGTTTAATCTTCATAATATCCCACTTGTCAATTTGTGACTCATCTGTATTAGCACCCTTCCCTGTTTCTGATAGCTTATATATTCCCTGCGTCAAAGTTCTCAGGTTTGTCCCAATTTCCTCATTAATGGCCCTAATAGTTTGGGGGTTTACCTCAAGGTCTGTTATCCACCTTGAGTTTATTCTTGTGCATGGAGTGAGATAAGGGTCTTGCTTCATTTTTCTCTAAGAAGATGCCCATTTTTTCCAGTGCCACTTGTTGAAGAGGGCATCCACCTCCCATTTGATTTTGAGGGGCCTATCAAAGATCAGTTGTCTGTATGTTGATGATTTTATTTCTGGGTTCTCAGTTCTTTTCCATTGGTCTGAGTATGTCATTATACCAATACCATGCGGTTTTGACCACTGTGGGTGTATAATATGTGCTAAAATCAGGTAAAGCAAGCCCTCCTACTGTGTCCTTCTTATTGAGTTCTCTGCTAACTCAGGTCTTCTTCCCTCACCATATGAAGTTGGTAATCAGTTTTTCCATTTCTTTGAAAAAGATGAGGGTAATTGAATCGGGACTGCATTAAGCTTATATATTGCCTTGGGCAGAACTGACATCTTTACTATATTGAGTCTTCCAGTCCACGAGCATGGGATATTCTTCCATTTGTCAAGGTCACTCTTGGTTCCTTTTAATAGTGTTCC